CACCAAATCCAGAGAGTCACCAAGCCCACAGAGTCACCAAGCCCACAATGTCACCAAATCCACAGGGTCACCAAGCCCACAGAGTCACCAAGCCCACAATGTCACCAAACCCAGAGAGTCACCAAGCCCACAGAGTCACCAAGCCCACAGAGTCACCAAGCCCAAAATGTCACCAAATCCACAGGGTCACCAAGCCCACAGAGTCACCAAGCCCACAATGTCACCAAATCCAGAGAGTCACCAAGCCCACAGAGTCACCAAGCCCACAGTGTCACCAAGCCCACAGAGTCACCAAGCCCACAGTGTCACCAAGCCCACAGTGTCGCCCCACGTCATTCCTGCCTGGAGTGAACCCATCCGTGGCGCCCAGGGAAGGCAGCCCAGCTTCCGAGGCCGTGGGCGGTGCTGTGTGGACCCCAGGAGGACCCGCAGCTCTGCCCGTGTGCAGGTGCTCCACCGCCCTTCCTCGCCAGGACCCCGTGGAGCCCGAGCAGGTCAGCTCTTTGCTGAGTCCAAGCAGCCTCAGGCCCCTCCAGAGGAAGAACCATCCAAACGCACGTCTGCTCACTGATGCTCCCGATGGCCCTGTGGGCTGGACTACTGTCCCCATTTACACACATGTCACCTGAGTCTCCCGGAGGTGCACTGGCCAGGGGCCTTGCCAGGGGTCTCAACTGAGCAGGCTCAAGTCCACCCTGTCCTGCCCGAGAGCCACCTGCTGCCACCTGCGCCTGCTCCCACCCGTCTGCCCGGGTGAGATGGCGCAGCTCTGACCCCTGCTGGTCTGTGCTCACCAGGAGAGGAGGCCACCACCCCCACCCTACTCCCCAGCGCCCTCAAGGAAGCCATGGCGGCATGAGCCACCCCAGGCCGAAGGACGGCACTTCTGCGTCCTGGACGCCTTCTCCAGGGAGGGGGACGAGGGACCCACCATGAGCCCACTCCGGCCCCCCCTGGAGTGCCCGGTCCTCGGCCTGTGCCGTCCTCCCCAGCTCCTCCTGCTCAGGAGCTCCTGGGGTCGGCGGCATCTGCCCGCGCTCAGCACAGGAAGTCACCAGCTAAGTCACAGATTGGGCTTCAACGCCGCGGACTCTTCTTCACCGTCTCAAAATAGGAGCCCGCATCTGGCCGCAGGAAGCCCAGCGGGGGCCGCGTAGGGCCTGTCATGTCTCCATGAAGGCCGAGGAAGGACAAGCTCCGGGGCCCTTCCTGTGGACACCAACAAGCTCTGGGGCCTGTGTGTGAGCCCTTCCTCTGGGCGCGCCGTCCAGCATTGGCTGAGAGCACAGTGGGTGGCAGCCCCATTGGGTGCCTGTGAGCAGTGGACAACCTGCACAACTGTGCCTGGGGCTCACGCCCACTCCCATCCAGCCACAAAGGTGCCCTGGGTAGGCCCCTGAAGAGCCCGGTGTGCCAACTGGTTGTTGTCACAGGTGCTTTTTCCCAACTGAGGTGAAATTTGCATAAAATTAACCACTTTAACACGAGCACCCCAGAGACACCAGGTCCGTTCACCGCATGGTGCTGCCACCTGTATTCAGCTCCAGAACTGACTCATTGTCCCGGAAGGGACCCTGGACCTACTAAGATGGTCCTCTCCTCCTCCCCCCAGCCCTGGCCACCACCCCCGTGCTTCCTGTGTGTTGGGGACACCTTTGTCTTTGTAGAATGACCAACCCTGACCCCATTCCAGCAGGAAGTGGCCCCAGAGAGCGCTGCCCTGGGCACACTGGTCCCCTGCATCAAGGAGGCTAGTATGACACGGGAATGTGCTTAATCAGAGGTCCCAGGAGGAGACGCCTGGGGACCTGGTGGCCCTCCTTGCCCATGGGCCCTGTGACACCAGGAGCTGGCTCACCCCTCCTGGTGCCCAGGAGGCCCCAGCCCACCTGCACCTGGCCGTGCTGGCTCCCGAGGGCTTGCTCCCTGCAGGTCCTCAGACCCTCGGGCCAGACTGGGCCTTGGGTCAGGGGTCTCCCCAGAACCAGCAGCCCAGAGTGCTCCAGGGGCTTCGGGACCAGCCGTGCGCTCATCTTGAGCTGGGGGCTCCGGCCACGGCCCTCCTCACTGGGCTGTCGTCGGGTGAGCCGGGCGACCTCACGGGAGGAGTGGGGTCTGGGGGTGGTGGCAGGCGTGGGCCCCCAAGTGGCCGTGCTCTGGGCCAGGCCAGGCAGGGAGCAGGCACAGCGGCCTCTGTTGTCACACAGGCACATGACACTCCGGAGATGGGCCAGGGTTGGCGGAGGGAGGGAGGGGACAGGTGCCCTCCTGGACCAGCTGTGGATCTGGTGCGCTTCTGGGTGTGTGGGCGAGCGGTGCAGGGCCCTCGGGCAGCCCCTCAGACGGCCACCCCTACCTCCTCCCTGTGTCCAGGCCACAGCCCCAGCCTTGCCCCCACGCAGACCACAGGGCGGCCCCCAGTGGGGTCGGCACGGTGAGCACGTACCCCTGTACCCAGGTAGCAAACTCCCGGGCACAGGGGACATGGGGGTGGGGCGCGGCCAGCCCAGGTTTAAACAGGGCCCAATTCCACCCAGAATGCACACGGCTCGCCTCGTGGGAAACTGGGTCTCCAGGAGAGGTCGTGTGGGACACGGGTGGCCTAGGCCACTGGCTGGTGTCTTGAGGAGACCAAACAGACCCGGGAAGACGCAGGAGGCAGGGGTGGGAGGGATGTGGCGGGGGCAGGAGGACAGGGTGCTGCCCCGTTAGGCTGCAGGGTGCCGTCCTTTGATGCGGCAGCCACGGGGCACGCACACAGCCCCAGGGAGATCCGTGCACCTCGAAGGAGCAGGGTGGCCGTCTATGCCATCTCACCTGGAGGGTCCCCTCCACATCCAGGACCCCGTCACAGAGAGGGCGTGGGCACTCGCCTGGCCAGGAGGAAGCCAACCAGCCTCCCACCGTGCAGTTGGAGCTGGTGATGGCCACGGTGGCCCTGGTGACCAGATTGTCCCCAGATGGCCCTGGGGGAGGCTCAGGAAGATCAGAGCTCAGTGCCCACAAGTGCACAAAACAGAGGGAGGTGACGGGGGCAGGAGACGTGGGGAGGGTGGCGCGTGGGGCGGGGACGGAGTGCGGGGGGTGGGGGGCACACTTACTCCAGCAGCCGCTGGTGGTCGAGCTCGTGCGAGGGGGGCATCCGGCAGCAGCTGAAGGTGACAATGAGTCTCCCGCAGCGGTCGTCCCCTGTGGGAACACACGCAGGCGTCAGCCTCGGCCCAGCTTCCCGGGAAACCCCAGGCGCAGCCCTGAGCTCCCCTGCTTGTCACCGAGGGGGTCCTCCTGGCTGCCCGTGCGCTGGAAGACTGAGGCCCACTGCTCAGGTCCCCAGGGCCATGCCTCGCCGCTGGCTGGTGGCCCCTGGGATTTCAATCCAGACACATCGGCTGCTCTGCGCGTCCCTCCTCCCCACACCCCCACCCCAGGGCTTCCCTCCAGCTCCGGGCCCTGGAGGCAGCAGGTGGCCCAGAGCAGTCACCCTGGACAGGACCTTGCATCCAGGACAGGGCCCTCTCAGAAGTCCTGAGGTCAGCCCTGTCCAGCATGGCCTCTTGACACATCTGTGCCGGCTCCATGCAGGAGCCACACGGGTGCTCTTGAGAGCCGTGTCCCCTGAACCCAGACTCGGGGCGGGGCTCACAGCAGGTGCTTAGTGAGACCCAAACAGCCAGGCGGCGTCAGGGTGAGGTCCCTGGGGCTTTGCCTGCCTCCACCTGGGGCAGGAGGTAGGGCACACTCTGCAGCCGGACCCTCCTGCTGCAGCCCCCCACCCACACCCGTGGCCAGGAGGAAGGGCCGAGCCCCACAGCCTTCCTCTCTCCACTCCCTGGCGCTGAGCGGGAGGATCCCCGGGGTTCAGCAAGGCTTGGAGGGGCCTAAGTGCTGGGGACAGCCCTGGCTTCCGGACCCCTGAGCCTCCTTGTCCCCCAGCCCTGGCTTGGGGACGAGGGGCGGATGGAGCAGGCTGCCCTGGCTGCCACACCCATGGCTTCCCTCACAACCAAACACGAGACACAGGAAAGCACACTCGGGACACGCGCCAAGGCCACTGGGCAGCAGGGGAGGGACACCAGATCCTGGGACACCCTGAGGCAGACGGGTGGGGTACCAGGCCCCTCCTTTCCTGAAAGCGCCTCCTGCCACCTGGATGTCACCCCTCCTCCTGACCCCGCAGCCAGCCACAGACCTGCAGCACCCACCTGTCGTAGGTGAGGGAGCAGCAGTGGCCCCGGGGACAGGCGCAGAGGCCCTGGGGACAGGCGCGGAGGCCCCACCCAGCAGACAGTGCAGGGCTAAGGCCTCGGTCAGTCTGCTGAGGTGGGGTCGGAGAGCGAGGCCTGGCTTCCATGGGCATCCTGGGGCCCCAGGGGAATCTGGGACAGAAAGTGCCCAGAGCTGGCCACCCCAGTGTGCACGCTGCTCCCTCTCCTGTCCTCCCGGAGCCCCCGAGGCCTGCGGCCACCAGGCACACGTGGTGTTGAAGTTTAACAACTTCCCCCTCCAGGAGGGGGGAGCCTGCAGCTCCTCAGTGGCACTGCCACATTCGCCCCCAGATGGTGAGACAGGACTGTCCTGCACATGCCCACCACATGCACAGTTGTACTGGGCAGCACTGCCCTTGGGAGTGGAGGTCAGGGTGGGGGAATGTGATAGCAGGAGCAAATGTGACTCCATTTTGTTTTGTGACTTCATCCTGTAAAACAACCATGCCAAGTAGAAGGGTCATGACTGGAGCAAGATGTTCTTTTCCTTTTGCTATAGAAACCTTTAAGAACACGGAACTACCTAATGGGGCATTGTTTCTGTAACTAGGGTAACGGGGCTCTGTTTCTGTAACTGGGGTGACTGGGATCACTGTGATGGGTTAGGCTTCCCTCCGCCTGACTGCACTGTCCTGCTTCTGTAACCTGGCTGGCTTGCATTGGCTGGACCCCTGAACATCCCTTTTGCACTTTTCAGGCTTATAAGGAGCGCCCTTGCAATTGTTCGGGGCTGATCAGGGGAACAGCTTTATGTTCTGGTCAGCTGCCACTGGTGTGCTTCAATAAAGGCTTGATTCGATTATACGTGAGTGGTCTGGAAGTCAGTTTATGAAACCCTGGAACAAAGCTTTAACTATAACATCTGGGGGCTCGTCCGGGATCCATTTCTTCCCTACCCTCACGCCAAATTTGCCTCCAATGACGGGCCTTTGGACCTTGGCCCCGGAGTAGAGGGGAGCTCCTGAGAGACGTTCCTCAGCCTCACTCCGAGGACGACTCCAATCCATCCTAGGACGCTCTGAAAAGCCTCCTGCCGGCTGTCAGTTCTGGTGAGTCGACTCTTCTCTGGGGGAAAAGGTCAGATTGGACGCAGTCGCTTACACCTTCCCCGGGACAGGACAGACGTTGTCACTGTCTCCCTGGAGGTCTCCCTGTGAGACCTCATCTGTCTGTATCTGGGGCCCACTGGAGGCCTCCCTGCGAGGCCTCATCTGTCTGGGGGCAGGACGAGACATGGTCTCTGCCCCATTAGAGGTCTCTCTGGGTGACCTCAGCGATTGTTGCTTGTCCTGTGTCTGTTCTCTGTTGGTCATCTCTCCAGTGTCTTCTGCTGTTGGTCATTTGTCCAGTGTCAGTTCGCCGGCCGTTTGTTCTGTTTGTGGGGTCTCTGCCCCACTAGAGGTCTCCCTGTGTGATCTCAGCAATTGTTGCTTGTCCTGTGTCTGTTCTGCTGTTTATCATTTCTCCAGCGTCTTCTTGCTGTTTGTCATTTGTCCCATGTCCGTTCGCCGGCCATTTGTCTTGTGTTTGTCTGTCCATGTGTTGTGCGTGGGCCCTTTTCTTGTTCCCATAACCGTTCTTCTTTCACCAGGACTCCTTCGCTCCACCGACATCAGAGACAAGGAAGCGCTACAGAGATCTCTACCTGGACCCCTTTAACTTGCTTTCTTAACAATTTTCAGGACTTGTCTGTTGGTTGGTTTTTGTTTGTTCCCTTTGTGTTCTGTGTTAATTTCTACCTCAGTTTGTTTCTAATGGGAAAAAAATGGTCAGAATGGTTTTAACTGTGCTCACTACAGCTTGCATTAAAATGTAATGTGCTGCCAACAGGACTGAAAGAATTGTCAAAAGTAAAAGCTAAAGGTAAAAAAAAAAAAAGACATTCTAGAGATTGCCTTCATTTAGGAGCTGGGCCAGGTGGCCAACTGGGTAAATCATGTCAGTTCCTATAGAGGACAGATTAAAACTAAAGTGTTTTATAAAATTATTATTCCTAAATTGTATAACAAAAAAACATGATTTTGTCTAGAGATTTGGCTTTTGTCTCTCAGTATTTACAAGCATGAATAACTCCCAACTATTAAAAAATGGTCTAAAGATTTTTCAATGTCAGGCTAAAAGTTGGTGGCCGCTATCCAAGAAACCAGAAAAACCAGTTTAGAATGGGACCCCAACCTGGGGGACTCTCCCAAGGAGACCAATGAAACTGTGTCTTTGGGAAGTTCCTCCAGGGAAAAATAAGCCCCCTTCGTTTGTCTATATTCCCTCAACTCTTTTCAGCTTTCATGAACAGGACCACCTCAGAAAAAAGGTCAGAAAACTTAAAATTCTATATTTGTTAAATTCATAATTTTGATCCAATACACTTAGGTTAATATGTTTTTCTGATGACACTCTGCTTTATTCTAAGGCCAATTTACAAGGGTTAACTCTCAATCTAATAGGTTTTTTTAAAAAAATAAGCTACAAGGCTTTTGTCTGTTTGCTTTGTGTGGGTGCACGGGTGTACTGTCTGTCTATATGTACTGCCATGTCTACATATATTTGGTACAAAAAATTGACATATGAGCTTATAAATTAAAATTTTTAAAAAAATGGATCCAAATACTTTTGGTTAATATGATCTAAAAGGTTCAATTTAAATTAAAAAAAAATAGATAAAAGTACAAATGTCTTTAAAGTTACTAATGCCCAGTTTTGTTTCTAGATGGTTAAACAGCTGTTAAAAATGTTAATGTCTATAAAGTGTCTAACATCCATTGTCTCTAGGATTTTTATTCAACAACAACAACAACAAAAAAGATTACTAATACTATTCAGTGCATTTGTCTGATACCTTGTTTTTAAAAAAGATACGTAAATTACATCTAAACGTATATAAAATTAATCATAGACATGTTTGTTAGAGACATCTAATTGGTACAAAGTTAAAATGCTGACTGTTAAATATAATATCAAGTACTTTTAACTCCTTAAATTCCATAAGGTAAAATACTTAAACAATGTTGGTGTTTTCATAAATTGGTAAACAAAAAGGAAATTTGTAATCATTTTGTGTTATTATAAAAACAAGGTTACTCTAAATTACAAAGTCCCAACAGGTATAATTCTACATACAAGGAGTCAAGAGGTTTCAACTGTATTTCAATTAAAGTACTGTAAGTAACAAATATTTCATCTTATTAAAATAGAACAATTTATTTAAATTAAAAAATTTATAAGGGTTATTTCAAGATACAAACAAAAAAGCGTCAATGGATTAAAAATTATTAAAAAGTTCTAAATATAAAAATATATTTAATAAAAAATGTTTCTAGGTAAAAAGTCTTTATGTGATAAAGTATAATTATAATACATCTAAGTAAACAACAAAAGGGTCTAATTAAGTAATATAAAGGTGTATAAATAAAAGACAAATATTAAAATATTTATATGTAACTAAGTTGGTTATATATGTAACACAAATAGTTAAAACTATTCAAGGTTGTTCCCTAAGGACAAATAATAATGAACTGATATATTTATATGTTAAATTGACAAAAACTTCTAAAAATATTAATTACATTATGTCTGTTAAGTTTTATCCCCTAGAACAAGTAATCTTGGAGAAACTAAGGTTTTTACATCTGTGGCTAAACAGCAACTGTTATTTTAAAGTATTGTCCTACATTACAAATCTATATTTTCCTTTAAAAGCTAACCTTGGTTAATATAAAAACATCAATAAAAGTGTGGTACATTACTCTTCTTTACAGATTAAATGTGTTCATATCTTTCAGGTAAACAAGCCTTTAAGGTAAAAGGTTTAAAGGAACATTTTATCAAGCTGGTATTCTCCAAACTAAAATTGTCTGTAATGGTAATTTAAACTTATAAAGATAATGGATTTTATTGGAGATTTATTTATATTATTTAATGTTTTGT